CGAGGGTTACATACGTAACCGAGACGTTACATAAGTAACCTGAGACGTTTTTCTCCAGGAATTCCACTTTTAAACAATTGCTTAAAAAATAAGTTGAAATAATGCAGATTGATGACATTAAGGAAATCGATTAATAACCTCATAGCTTACAGTAGGTCTGTCTTTAACAGATTAAGTTATCTTTAAAATCAAATTTCCCTATGGATAAAATTAATGGGATTTTTACTTCTGAAATTTGCCCACTACAGTGACCAGAGACGTGTGGGCTCTTCTGACTGCAAGCGACCACCTAGAAACCACCCAGAGCACCCTAGCGACAAAGACAAACACAACTCACATTTTCTTAGAAAATATTTAAAAAAAGTAAATTTAAAGCTGCCAGGAGTGCGACTATGAGTGTGGGATTATATTTGTGGCTGTCATGGATTCAGCTTCATGTAGTTGGTCTGAAAGCCGTGTTTTATAAAGCATTCAAGCATGTCCTAATAATTACAGTGTGATTAGAGTAAATGTGGTAGCAGCAGGCAGCAAGTGTGTGCAGGAATGTTGGCAAGATGGAGGTCTTCTATAAAACCTCTAAAAACCCTGCTGCTGCTCTCGAGCCAGATTTCTTATCCCTGACCTCATTTACAGTGTGATCTTAGCTGATCTTAGAACAGTACATCTCTTCCCATGGGTTTTTGTAATTTCCTTTCCATCAGAGTAATCAAGCGTTGACTGTAAGTGACTCATTTCTCTGGCATCTTCAGAGTTCAGTGTCCTCCCAAACAAGTGGCACAATCACACACAAAGCCCATACACCAACTACCATCTCAGAAAGACTCCAAAAAAGAGAAGGAGGGAAAACTTCTGTCTCCCAACCACAAAGAAAACCTTTGAGTCTCTGATAAGATCTTCCTGTCTTACGGTCTGTTCTGATATTTTCACATTTTAATGAGAAGAAAAACAAGACAAAGTGGAACGTTCAGTTACTCGTCCAAGTGTCTTGTTTACTGTAACTCCCGAGAACCGTAAAAAAAATAATATTCCGTCTCTGACTGCATCAGAAAGATATGTGGCATTATAAATACTGTTTTTATACATAAACACAAAGAGAAAGTTAAGGGCCCCACATCACAAACTTCTAGTGCAGGCTCCATGTGTTTTGTTGTTTATAATGTTGCACATTATAAAGTTTTCATGAAGACCGTACTCCTCATCTATATCAGGCTGAAGTAATAATACCAAATAAATATTAACGTAAAAGTATATTAAAACACAATTTCCTGTTTCGACTTCATTGACAGAGACAAAGTAATTCATTAGCAAGATTGGTGTGAGACTATACAATAATAAATAAATAAAATAAATAAATAAAATCTTGGACTAATTTACGAATTGGCAAGAAGTCCTTTGAGAGACTAATCAGGAAGGCATATTCACACCAAGGATGATAACTATAAAGTTTTAATAACCATTAAAACAATTGTATGAGAACAGCGAAGTCCACGCCACAGCTATAACAATAATAGCAAAGAGGAACAATATCAAGAATCCACCTGACTTTAAATTGCTTGAACATTTAAAGTAGCAGATTTTGCTTATTATAAGCAAGTTGAGCTTATAATAAATGTAACATTATGAAGCACTTTTGCTTCCTTGAAATGCTGCTATTAATTTTTTTATTGTCAGGACTTGATTAATCTGCAAAATAATTAGCAGATTACATGATTACTAATATAATGACAGTCTTAAATCAGTTATCATTGTTATTGGAATCAACCAGGATTATACTTATTAGGCTTAATAGAAAAGTGATGAACCTGAGGTCTCACTATAATCAAATCACACGCTTTCCATAAAACAGGACAGAAGCAAGCAATCTAACCTGGATCACTCACTCATTTCCTGGGCACGGCCGAGATACACACAGACACACCTCAGCCACATTCTGACAAAGCAATTACACCATGTTGGCTGGAGCACAAATACATAACAATGCTCTTTTCAAGAGGGCATGATGTGGTGCTCTCTACCATATCCAAGTGAAGTTTTGAAAAATATTTTATTTGAAGATGACAGTATGATTGATTAATTTTATACTTACCAACAAGCTCATTGGGGTCTTTAACTTCCACTTCTGAGACATCCTACAAAAGAAGAAATGGCCAAACATGCATAATTGAAAATCAATAACACATTTTACTTCCTATGTCATTTTAAGTCAGCATGTACGTCCACATGAGATGAATTATGACAGACCAAGTAATATATTGAAAGAACCGATTAATATTTGGCCATTTTGACATTTCAGCTAATAACAATGCATACTTGTTCATCTAACAAAAGTGTTAGTGCCCCCTTGTGTCAACTCCAAGTCTAACAACAATTTAAAATTATCAATTTTTTTCCAATTAAATATTGTGTTTAAAAGTATTCTTTTATGCAGATCTTAAAACACTGCTCGCTATTCAGAAATATAGGTTTAATCCTGTGCTGTAACTTTTAAAAGAAAAAAATCTCTCTTGGGAGGCTTAAAAACCGAAGGTGATGAAATCAGAACCAAAGTGAAAAACCCCAGAATAATAAAACTAGGCTAAAAAAAAGAGGTTCTCTATTCGCTGTCCTCTTTTACACAATCTTACACACACAGTCACTCAGCAACAGGATGTGCAGATGGAAGAATCGTCTCGTAAAAGTGCCCAAGCAGAAAATGTGTCTAGGACAGCACAGAGAAAGAAAGATATGACTCACAAAAAGATGAATCTCTTGTAGCCAAGAGCTCAAATCTTAACAACAGTCCATTCACTTGAAAACCCAGTATGGCAAAACAATGTGAGACAAAAAAAGGACACATCTATCTCCACTGAGGCGAGGTCTCTTAAAAGAGGTCTTTTTCATTTAGATTAGCCCAAAAACAGGACCATTGGTTAATGGACCTACTTCTTGCCATTTCATTGTCATGCCCCTGCATGCACTTTTACAACAGCAAAGACAAAACAAATGTCTGAATCTTAAAATGATAACTTATAAGACACTTAAGTGAAGATTTAGTTACTTTCATGTTCTATGCTCTTATTTTTATGCAATAGGTGCATAAAGATTGTTCAAAATTCCCCTTTTTAGTTTCTAATGAAAATCAAAACACCATATAGGTTTTAAACAACAAGGGAGTGAGTAAATGTGAATTAAAGACAAAACAAATGTCTGAATCTTAAAATGATAACTTATAAGACACTTAAGTGAAGATTTAGTTACTTTCATGTTCTATGCTCTTATTTTTATGCAATAGGTGCATAAAGATTGTTCAAAATTCCCCTTTTTAGTTTCTAATGAAAATCAAAACACCATATAGGTTTTAAACAACAAGGGAGTGAGTAAATGTGAATGGTAGTTTTTGGGTGAACAACAGTCGAAAGGACAAAAATGAACTGAACCCACATAAAAATAAAAAACACCATAACTCTTACATTTGTGAAAGTCATTATTAAGCAATCAATTTAATCAAATTAGTTCATTAGTTCAAATCATGTTTTGATGCTCTTATTTAGCAAGCAAGACGAACAGTGTTCTGTCTTTGGGGTGTGGCTCTAAATTTATGCAACATCGCAATCTTCTATTATGAAAAAGTAATGTCAGTGCATGAAATAACTTGCCACTGAAATGCTTTGCACATCTGAAATCCTTTTAGATGAAAACGGAATTTAGATTCTTGCTCTTAGAACTTAAAATCTTAATTCATAAAATAACAACACAAATGTGTTTCTGGACACTATTGTGATAGTGTCATGTAAATACCATATACACTACCGTTCATTTGGGGTCAGTAAGACTTTTATTTTTTGAAAGAAATGAATTGTTTTATTCAGCAAAGATGTATTACATTGATTAAAAGGGACAGACCTTTGCATTGTTACAAAATATGTTTCTTGAGCACCAAATCAATCACTTGAGTAATGGCTGCTAAAAATTCAGCTTTGCCATCACAGGAATAAATTGCATATTAAAATATATTAAAAATACAAAACATAGTTTTCAACTGTAACAATTTTTCGCATTATTACTGTTTTGACTGTAGTTTTGATCAAATAACTTTTAAAAACATCTAACACATATGACAGTCCCCAAACTTTTAAACACTTTGTAAATGTTAAAAGAATGTGTAAGAAAAGTAACTGTGCATAAACCTAATGTTCAATAAATATGCATGAAAACATTAAGGACATGCTGTATTACTCTGATATGAACCTTCTCTGCAAGTTCAAACACGCATGCTGTTCCTTAGCTTGAGTGATGCTGTGTTCTCTTGGTTTGAGACCAATCATAACAACGCAATAAACCGAGGACGGGTGTGTCTTGGGTTTGATACCCTGAACCCCAGAGCAGTCAGGGAGGGAATTTAGGTGGGGTCAAATACCTTCACATCATCTTGGGTCCGCCCTGAGTCCGACTCCTCCTCTTCCTATAAAAATAAAAATGAACAGGGTCACCACAGCCAAAACCATAATCAAGAGCTCCCCCCTCAGGTGTAAAACTAAAGTTTCAACCATAGTGCTCTGACTGAGAATGAATGGGGATTCAGTTGACTGTGGCCTTTTTTCTGATTAATTTAATTATAGCCGATGTCATACAACGGTCCCACACTAGACAGTGGGAAATAGCATCAATCAAATAATCAGAGTTGAAATTAAAAAAAGAGGGACCATTGTAAATTTACAAGAAAGCAACGTGCTATATTTTGATATGAAAAAGGAATATTTGTACTGAAAGTACTTATAATGACAAATAATAAGAACTACTAGATCACAGTGTTTAATATAATATGTCAGAGTGTTGTCACATTACGGAATAGTTTCTAATGTTTATATGGCACTAATATTATTAGCTAGAATAAAAATAATGTTCATTTAAAACAGATGGAAATTTGCATATTGTGTAATTATCTGAAACTGAAATTCTTCAGTTTCAGATTTAAAATTTAAATATTTATCACTTTTTCTACTAATGATACTGATAATTAAAAAAACAATAATGGACAATATAAAAAAATGTATATGATCACATTTTTTTTCTTGTAATTTGCCAGTTTTTGGTTGCAGAATTGTACTGTTACATCCTTTTATTACAACTGGCTCTGATCTCCTCTAATTAGTGGAAGGTCCATTAAAAATGTGAATTTGTGAATTACATTCCATGTGAATGTAATGGGCAGACATTTCTAGAAAACCCCTAAACTGAAAGTTGTGGTTAAGGCTGACCGAATTTCTAGTGCTGTCATCATCACTGTCCTCATTCTCCGAGGGCTTCTCATCTGCCTCCTCCACACGACTCACTTCATCCTCTCTGTAACCAGCCGACACCAATCCACCATGAGATTCTGACAGACAAGCACACAAAAAAAGCTTTTTCAATTCCACTGAGGCCGTATTTACAAGTGTATGACCTGTTAATGACTTAATCGACCATTCCTGATGATATCAAGGAGCGATACGGCATACTACCAGATTTGTTACCATGCTCAAGTAACAAAAATATCTAAAAATCAAACTCTGAAACGTACTAACACTATACAAAATAGATCAAAATGAGACAGAAATCATAAATACGTAACACAAAAGTGAAAGTGTGAAGTACTGTGCCAAATCCTGTTTTTAACAAAGATACTAATGAATTTGAATCAAAATACCACAGATTTCACACAGTTACAACAGTTAATACTATAGTTACTAGTTATTGTTACTACTGTAAATCCATAATACATTAATATGAGATCTTTTGTGAGGCTAACTGTCATATCAATGAAGGTTACAAGCATAAAGTTACATAAAGCAGAAGAAGAAGAGACATTTAAAAAACTGTACCATTAAGTAATTAAAATAGGGAACAAACCATTCCCTTTCATGGGAACTTCGAACTGCGTCCTCTAGGGGTCGCTATGGGGAACGCCTCGTCGTGACCCGTGTCTGAAGCATACATTGAAAAAACACCAACTCGTTGGCCGGCGACAGCCATGACGTCACTACCGGTGCGACTCCAGTATAAATCGGCGCCGGGAGCTATGACCAATTACTATTTTTTATGGAACGTAATGCGTTACGTTACTTTTGCGCTACTTTTTAAATCTGGACAGGGCTTGCTTGTTTGTTTTTAAAATAAAAAAAGTTATATTTTTGGCAAATACTGTATAAAAGCCTTTTCACACCAAAAGTGAAATGAATAAGCCTCAGGCTGAAGGGAAAGTACATTTACGTCCGTACAGTAGAATGCAGAAGAAGACATTTCAACACACTTCAGCAATAAAAAAAGACACACAAATGTTCGTCTAGAGTAATTTTTGCTTGTTAGTACGGTTGAACTGGATCATCGAAGGTCAGAAGCAAAGACATTGGTTAATAGAATGGGATTAAATACATAAAGGATATTTGTGTTGTTTAACATTTAATTATTGTGGGTTTGTGTCATATTCTGAGTTGCATTATTTTTATTCATTTTGAGGAATACTGAATCTGTGTGTTTTTTGTTTTTTTTTGTGAGTGAGATGAATTAATGCATATTCATATTTATTTTAGAACTACAGTAACATCTGATTTTTCTCAACATGGGAACAGGAGAGCTGTCAATCAATAAATTGAAAAAAAAGTCACTTGCGTTACTTATTTGAAAAAGTAACTCAGATATTCTCTTGTAAATTAAAAAGTAATGCGTTACTTTACTAGTTACTTGAAAAAGTAATCCGATTACGTAACTTGCGTTACTTGTAAT